TTTTCATCTACGCCCATTTGTGAAAGTACAGCTCCCAAAGCAAAATCCAAAGCATCTGTCTCCAAATAAAAGGCCTTTGTAAAGTCTAGATGTACCAAGATTAGAGCTGTAGTAAATACCATCTTCAAATCTTGAAATACTTTTTCTGCGATAGGTCCCCATTTGAGCTTGTCCTTACACGTTAACCGAGTGAGGGGGGCAGCAACTTGAGAATAATTCTTGATGAAGATCTGATAGTAGTTAGCAAATCCAAGAAAACATTGTACGTCCCTAACCGTCTTCGGAACTTCCCAAGACATGATTGCTTCCACCTTCTTTGGATCCATCTTCAAGCCTTCCGTAGTCGCGATGAATCCCAAAAACTCCATCTCAGTTTGGTGAAATAAGCACTTCTCCAATTTGGCATAGAGTCCTCGCTCCCGTAGTTTTTTGAGTACGAGACGAACGTGCTTCTCATGTTCTTCCTCGTTCTTAGAAAATATCAAAATATCATCTAGATAGATGACAACAAAATCGTCTAGATGCTCTCGAAAGATGTCATTCATCATGTGTTGAAAGACCGCTGGAGCATTAGTAAGACCAAATGGCATGACATTGTATTCAAAATGGCCATACCTTGTTCGGAATGCTGTCTTCCATTCATCTCCTTCCTTGATTCGCACAAGGTTGTAAGCTCCCCTTAGGTCAATCTTTGTAAAGATCCTTGCACGCCCAAGTTGTTCTAGAAGACCAGAGATCAAAGGCAGTGGATAGCGATTCTTTTTTGTCACCTTGTTGAGACCTCGATAGTCCACGCACATCCATAGTGAGCCATCCTTCTTCTTCACAAATAAGATTGGTGCCCCAACTGGCGACTTCGAATGATGGATGAAGTTCTTGGCTAGATTCTCGTCAATGTACTTCCGCAACTCAGTCAACTCCGTCTGCGACAAATTGTAGATTGGTCCAAAAGGTGGTTGTGCTCCTTCTTGCAATTCAATGGCACAGTCATAGGGTCGATGCTCTGGCAGCATATCAGCATTCTTCTTTTCAAAGACATCTTTGAATTCTTCATACTGCTTTGGAATAACCAAAGTCGGAGTTGCATCTTCTCGAGTCGGAGTTGCGAAGATGACAAGAGGTGTATTTTACTTGGCTTCCTTCATGAAAGCCCTTGCAACTATAAACAAAGATTTGTTTCTAGACATTGTCTTGGCAGATTCCACCTTCAAGGAGTTTGTTGGAAATGTCACTTTCCGCAACTTCCAGTCTATCAATGGATTATATCTATCAAGCCAAGATAGTCCCAAAATGATAGGACATGAAGGGGTCTGATAACATTAAACACAATATTGCTCTCATGGTTTTCAAGACGTACCTTCAATGGTTTAGTTTCATGGATAACATTGCCCGAAGACAATGGTCGTCCGTCTATGACTTCTACATGGACAGGCTTAAGTTTCTTTACAAGAGAAATATTGTGAAGCTTGGCAAACTCTTCATCTATAAAGCAAGCGGATGTACCCGAGTCTAATAAAGCATCGACTTGTAGTTCTTGAATATCCAGATGTAAAGATACCATAAAACAATCTGAAGGTTGAGTTGAGAGAAAGGGACCTTGATTAATTTTGGATGTTGAGATGTCCAGCCGCACGGTCCCTATTGTGGCTGGGCGTCCTTGTTTTCCTGCATGCTTGTACTCCTGAGTCTTGTTGTTTGAGGCTTCTGTTTCTTCCGACAATCTACAGCTTTATGGCCCGCTTCTCCGCAATATAAACACAAGTTTTGTTCAAACCGTCGCTTCCTTTCCTCACCTATGAGGGGTTTGAAACGTACCGCATCAATTTGCATGGGTTCAGGATCTGTTGAGTGATTCTCTAGACCTTTTGAAAATGTAGCAAATGCTCCATGATTTCTCCAGCCTGATCGTCTTTCTTGTCGTAATTCAAAGAGGCGGTTGTCACAAATAATTGCCTGAGATATAAGTTCTTCTAAAGTATCCGCCTTAGGCATAGTGATCAATAAGTTCTTGACATCATCTCTCAGTCCATATCGAAATCGTGTCATGAACGCCTTATCATTCCAATCAAGATCACATGTAAGCTGTTGAAATTCTGCAGCATAGATTGCAGCAAAACGTGATCCTTGTCGCAGATTTTGTATCTTTCTTTCAGCCACTCTTTCTCGATCGCTATCTCCAAACGCAGTAGTAAGTCTCTCTATGAAAGCCTCTAGGTTGTACAATATTGGAGAATCCTTCTCCAATAGTGGAGTAAACTAAGAGCGAGCATTTCTTGATAGAAGAGTACCTATGAAAGCAACTTGGGTAAATCCATTCGGATAACGAGAAAGGTATAGGCGTAGGTAAAGCCATACTTGTTGCACAAAACCTCGGAAGTTGGCTCTTGTTCTGTCAAACTTGTCTGGCATACTCGCTTTTGGTTCTTTCGTACTAATCCTTGAAGTATCCATAGGGGTCGTATGTGACACATGTCTTGCTTCTCTCAGTCGAATAATCTCTTGTTGTAGGCTATGAATTTCACGTCTATCTTCTTCGGTCACTAGATCAATTTGAGGTTCTTTACTTGGATTGCGAAGAAATGCAATCTCCTTTCGTACACTATTCATAAGAGCTTGAAGATCTGCAAGAGTTGCCACTCTATTGTCTACTTGTGGAGATGCACTGTCTATGACCTGGTCTACTTCCATATTTAGAGAATAGATGGATTAAAATTTTGAGAGAAGAAGAAATTGCTAAGTCTCTTGGAGAAAATTGTAGCACTACCTGTCACTAAAACCTACTCGGAAAAAAGGGAAAAAAAATACTAAACGATTTCAATTTTAGAGGAGGGTAATCCGCAACCTCTAAAAATGCCTCAATGCTTTCGAGAAGAGGGGTAATCCGCACTCTATCAAGAAGGCAAAGCTCTGAAATCGATGTTAACAGTCTTTTTTACTAGCTATGCTAAACAAAAAGAAGGAATTAATATTAGTCTAAGAGAGGATAATCCGCAATCCTTAGAATGCTCAAGTATCTCCAAGGAAAGGGGTAGTCCACTCTCTGCCTCAAAGAACTAAGCTCTGATATTGTGATTGAGAAAATATCAGTTTAGAGGAAGGTAATCCGCAACTCCTAAAGTGCTAGAATACCTTCAAGAAGAGGGGTAATCCGCTCTCAAACAAGAAGGATTCAGCTCTGATATTAAGATAAAGGTAGTCTCGACAAACTGTCACGGACCAAAAATACAAACAAGAAATCTAAACAAGAAGTTCAAGAAGAAATGACAAGAACTAGATTATTAGATGAGTACAAGAGCAACGCCAAGAGAATTGAGCTAGAGCTTCAAGAGATGTGTTGTCGAGACTGAAGAACTCTTCAGCCTCGACTCCTATATATACTACTGGCCTATGGTTCTAAGGAAGCGCATCAAGAAGCTTCCCAAGAACTATGAAGCTTCTCGAGCAACTACCCAAGAGCTAGGAAGCTTCTCAAGTAACTTTCTAGAATCTACTAGAATATTCTAAGAATCTTCTAGAGCCTTCTAAAGGAATCTTTAGGGAATCTTCAAAGAATCTTTAGGGAATCTTCAAAGAATCTTTAGGGAATCTTTAAAGAATATTCTAAGAGAATATTCAAGGAATCTTCTGGAAGTTTCTAGAGACTTCTTTCTAGAAGGTTCTAGAAACTTGTCTCTAGAAAGGTCTAAGAACTATGTCCCTAACATCGGCATTCTCCATAATATTCATTGTAGACTATAGTAAATACCATAGCTATAGTATTTAGAATCTAGTGGAGAAGTACTATTTATCCTCTCCTCTTTTCTCTTCTTGTATACAAGGCAGAACCAGATGAATAGATTTTTATGTGTGAAGCTCTCTCTTCTTAGAAACCGTCTTGTGTATATGACTTACTACTATTCTTGTGTGTGTGTATGACTTACTATTACTCTTGTGTTTTACTAAACATTCTCAACAGTTCTAAACCTCAGCATTGTAACACATCTATAAAAAATAAAAATAAGAATAAAATAGAAAGAAAGAAAGAAAGAAGGTAGAATAGTAAGTTTTTGATTTTGTTGATCTTATCTTGGCTTTCACTCACATGTTGTAACACGACATTTTATATTTCTATTTTTTCGTTTTTTTAATCATGTGTGAATAGTGAATAATGAATAATTAAAATAGGGAATTGTTAAAGTGACTCAAACATTTACTAAATCAACCTACCCATCATCATTCATTAAGGATCCAACCACTTTTTCATTGATTTTTGACCAATGCATATCTAGTAATTGAGAAACTTTTGATGATGGTTAGGATGGTTGATTTTAGTAAATACTTGGGTCACTTTAACAATTCCCTAAAAATAAAACCACACTCAAACATAAAATGAGAACCAAGTGCTTACATACAAATATAAGAAGGTTTTCAAGTTACCAAATAAACAAAATCAGAAAGATGGGTTGATGAGTTGAAATGTAATACTTCTATTTTTTTATTTAAAAAAAATATAAAAATTTACACACACTCAAATCGATCATGTCAAATGTTGCAACAACTTATCGTTAATCGATGAATAAATCAAGAAGTAAATTAAAATCTTGGTTTGTAAGTGAATGTTGCTTAGGGTTATAATTATGTGATGAAGACAACGTGGATCCAGATTTTAGCCAGAGACCTAGATAACAACTAGCTGTGTGCGTTTTCCGTGGTGGAGCAAGCCAAGTTTAGCAGGATGCGAGCGAACAATGGGTAGAACGAAGTTTCAGAAATGTCGGCGTGGCGCCCTCGGGAGCACCCCGCTTGCCCTAAAACCCCAAGTTTGGAGGGGTGATGGTGGGGTGGGGGATCAAGCCACTGGCACGGCACTCTAAACTTAGGACGATGGCTCGTTCAACACCCCCCGGCGCCTTCGTCCACACTTCGTTGACGCTGCCCTTCGACCTTGTGGTGCTGATGCTGTGCACTCTGACTTGGACGCCGCGACGCGGATTTCGTTCCTTCAGGTGGAACAGGTTGAGCTCAGGAAGCCGTAGATCGAGGGGTTGATGGATCCATTTTTGAATTGAGACGCAATCAGTGGCTTATGATGTTTGTGTTTTTGGTAGGGTTCCCAGTGTAGTGGAATTGTTGTTGTTGTGTTTTGTTTTGTTAGTATGTTTGTTTGTGGATGAATGCGTTTCTGAATTGAGTGGCTTGGAGCTTGAAGGAGGAGGCGGGCGACGCGTGTTGTGGGACATGAGCTGGTCAGATCTGGACAGTGACTGGAGAGATTGGTAGGGGGTACAAGACTAGTAGTGTAGAGGACAGGAGTAAGACATGAGAGCTTCGGCATGGATTCTAGTGCGAATAAGAGCGCCGCGGCTCTTGGAAGTGTATTGCAAGCGGAAGCGTAGCAGGACGAGAGTTTCCACGACCATTTTATCTCATCGTGACTTCACTCGTGTAGCATAATTCACTTTGATTTTGGGCGAAGATATTCGCACAGAAGTAAGAACAGTAAAATGATCTGGAGAAGAAAAGTTTCGCGAGAACGTAGCTTGTGTTTGAGAATTCGTGAAACGCTGGATCAGTATTGATAGCGGCAGGGGTAGATACAAGTGTGCGAAGGTTTGAGATCTCAAAGTTTGGAGGAGGAGTCTTGTACAGAAGGACGTCTACAATCTTAGCAGCAGTTTTGGTACGAGCTTACGTGCGGCACTGGCAAGGTTCGATTGACGCGGTGCACGCGACGTGTTGGATTCCAAGGAAGGACGATTGTTTTGGCACCAAGTTTTGATGTCCACTGACCGAGGTGAGCTCACCAACATGAATCTATAACTTGAACCATTCATCTCAGTTGTGAAACACGCCCTTCCGACAGCTGATAGCTCAGTAGCGAGTGCTGCGATAGCATCAAGCTTCCATGTTGAATTGTTACGCAAGGCAATGTCTTTCGCAATGCCCAGCTCCGGATTTGGAGATTGATCGCAAGTCGAACTAGGTCACGATGTCAGCAGGGTGCTGTCTGAATCCCTCTTCCTTTTTAAATCTTGCGTGCAGGCCTCCTTACTTACCGAGTCGAAACATGTGACTGATCAACCAAATGCCTTCAAAGTATTCCCTAATTTTCATGAATTGCAAACGTCTTCTTTTCTGGACGTTGTATTCAAGTCTCACAATGTGACCACTAGTCCGCGAGTTGTGCTGCAGGAGGAGAAACGATAGTACGTGGAAGTAGCTAGTGACTTCTTCCGACTGTCTGTAGCAATTATGTTCTGGACATGGTGTGTAGAATTCATTGCAGCGAAGTTTGACTGTGTTCGTGCGCCTGAACTGATGAATTTTGTTGCAGGGTAACGTTAGCCATTAAACTAGAGCAGGCAAGATGTATCTTGCAGGACTTGTTAGCTCTACGTTCGTGATGCCCCATCGGCCAGCAGGAAATGTAGAGCTTGTGGAGCTCTCGCTGGAGGATGAGTATCTCCCGCCCAAGCCCGTGGAGAGACACAAGGAGCTTCACAGAGATCATCTCAGCAACGGCAATGGGCATCTGAATGATACTACAATCTGTGACTATGGTGTTAGTAATCAGACTCAAGCTATCTCTGAGATTAAGAATGGCAATACCAGCATGATACCTGCCGCGTCGAATGTGAAATCGAAAGCTAGAAGAAGACGCAGGATTTCTATGGAGGATCTACCCCCAGACCTTTACATGGAGCCTCTGAATCCTCTATTGTTGAGGTCGCCTGAAAGTGGTGCAACGTCTCTTGGTTCGCAAGATCAGCTCCAAATTAGGTCGGCTTTGCAAGAGAGAGCGGTGCGTGTGTTGCGAAAGTTAGGTTTGGAAGAGCAGGGTTTGGATCAAGAATGGTCGTTCTGGATGTCGGGTGTGGCGCAAATAGATAAGACCGTGACTGTAACAGAGGTGACGTCGAGAATGACGACAGTTAGCTTGAGGTCGAAGCTTGGATCACCACTGTTATCAAGTAGAGTTCAACACCACCCGTTGGAAGTGGCCCAGGAGTTGCAAGAGTACAGACTCTCAGATGCAGACGCAAGCACAAGTGATGCCGAGCCTAGAGAGCCATCGAGGGAGTCTTGTGAGGAAATTGGGAGGAATGTTATCAATGTAGAGCGTCTACCAAAAACAAACGAGGCCTTCGAAAGGTTTTTGCAAGAATTGGAAAGGATAGAGGAGAGTGAATCCATGAAAGAGCGAAAGCCATCTACGAAGAAAGTAGAAGCTGGAGAGGTTGCGCCGCAATACTCTGGTCGAGAGACAGTGAGGGTTACACAACTACGTATTGAGCAACCAGATGAGTCAAAAAGGGAGGGATCGCGAGATTATGAGGCGCCAATTGTAGCATCGGAGAATTCGAACTTGGAGTGTGGAAGTGTAGCTCTTCATGGTCTGGGCAAGCCAACTCTATCACCTATACCATCTCTGTCGAGCCCTATGATGGAGAGGTCCTCTCCACAATCTCTGTCACCTTTACCATCTTTGTCCAGCCCTATGATGGAGAAGTCATCCCTTATGTCTCCATCACCTTCACAATCTTTGCCTAGCTCTGTGATATCAAATTCATCTCCACAATCTCCATCTCCTCTACCATCTTTCTCTAGCCCCGTCATGGAGAAGTCGTCTCTTCCAAGTGTGTCACCTTTGCCGTCTCTCTCAAGCCCCGCGATGGAGACGTCGTGCCTTCCAAGTCTATCCCCTATGCCATCTCTGTCAAGCCCCGTTATGGAGAAGTCATCTATGCAGTCTCTGTCACCTCTACCGTCTTTTTCAAGCCCAATGATGGAAAAGATGCAAGGGGATTGTGCTTCGACGGAATCACCTTACTCGAATAATACAGAACTTCCGAACCTGCCGAAATTGGTAGTGAAAGTAGTGGGAACTACGGCTGTGAAGAAGGGAAAAGTATCAAGGAGCTCCTCGTCGAAACTGATAGAGTCGGATAATCAAGGTCTTTCATTTCGGCGATGGAAGCGAGAGTCTCCTCCTGAACGAAAGCTGACTTTAGCCTCTTCGAATTTTCAGGATCTTGATATTGGAACCTCACAGGACGTTGAAATTCCTGCCGATGAGTACGCGAAGACTATAGATGTAAAATCGATTCTAGCTAGCTCAGGACGCAGGCTTTCCAAACCTCGCGATAAAGGCATAGACGAATCCTTGGAGGATGATAAGAATATCACAACTGACCAAGCCAAGTCTTCTCCACCAAACTTTGAAGCTTTCCTGAATCTCAAAACCTTCGATCTGGGTCTTAGAAGAGCAACGGCCAATGTGGATTTGGATGTCCGGAAGTGTAGAGACGAGTCGCAGCCTGATTATCATTCTCCGTCATCTTTCACGTGCAGACTTTCGCCTCTGTCTTTATTCTCAGACGACCCTGAGCCATTTCAATGGAACCTGTCCCCGTTCCATGACAAGTTTTCCGACTTAGGCCAGGCTCATGAAGAAGCGTCGATGCGCAGCAAATCTCCCCGGTCAGTGCTGTCCCAGGAGCCGGAGGATGTCTCCCATTTTACGCGACGCGCGAGAGGAAGCTGCGAGACGCGATTGAAGACTCGTCCGCCTTGGGACTCTTCGTGCACATACTTATATAAATATAAATACGAGTCTTCAGAGGTGGAGTCTCCGCCAAAAACCGGGTACAGACAACAGCCATTTTCTACGTTTCAATACAACGTGACCGGGGAAATGGGAGTGACGTCGTCAGATGAGGATCGAGATGACGCTCCTGATACTGCGACCCTAGTTAACGAAGATCGGTACCCTTCAAGTTCTCCTGAGTTGCGATGCTTTCGAGATGCAAATCAACGGGAGCCATGGCTTGATGAATTAGACGACACGGACTTGGAATTCCTTTTCCCCCTTGATTTCAAAAATAAGAATGAAGTTCTAATCACAGCAGCACTGCGGGCGTGTAAGCAGGTTTCGGCGAATGCAAACCCCCAGACGCCTCAAGAAAGTCCGAGGAGACTTAGTGAAGACATGATCACAGCAGTGCTGGAGGTGCAGAAGCAGATTTCGGCAATGGCAAGCCCCCGGACGCCTCAACAAAGTCCGAAAAGGCCTAGTAAAGACATGATCGCAACAGTACTGAAGGTTCGCAAGCAGATTTCAGCAACGGCAAGCCCTCGGACACCTCAAGAAAGTCCGAGGAGATCTAATGAATACGTGGTTACAACAGTACTGAAGGTACGCAAGCAGGTTTCAGCAATGGCAAGTCCCCAGACACCTCAAGAAAGTCCGAGACCCGATGAACACAAGGTCACCGCTGTACCAGAGGCGTGCAGAGAGGCATCGGCGACGATACTTTCGTCGTCACCTCAAGAAAGTAAGAAACCACCTAACACAGACATGATCGCAACAGTACCAGTGGTTCGCAGAGAGGCATCGGCGATGAAACTTTCATCGTCACGTGAAGAACCTAACATAGTAACGATCGCACCAGCACCAGATGTGCGCTTGGAGGATTCGGAAATGGCAGGCCTCACAACACCACAGGCAGGTGTAAGACCTACAAATCAGAAGGCCTGGGTACCACTCATCCCCAGCCAGCTCCACAGCGCCAATTCAACTCCTGTTCGTAGCCCTACGAAGAGAGACACTTCCACATCACGGCGCCTAAGGTTTCAAGAGAAATCTTCAGATGTTTTCGTCGCAAGCCTCTCCAGAGGTGTTTCTTCTGAAAGGCAGAGCCCTCTTCCTCCGAAGCCGGCTCCTAAGCGCCATGTCAACTTCGCACCCGACCTGGTGACAGAATTCCCGATCCCAACATCGAACTCAGACCGGAAGTCTAAGCTGTCTCCGCTTCAGGTTCCTCTTCCGCGTGGTGGTGCAAATCATGAGGCCAAACCTTCCAACGCGAATAGCTGGCAAGTTCATGAAGAGGACGGTCCATCTATTATGACATCTAGACGACGGTGGAGTTGCCGATACGAGAGTTCAACTGCTCAGGGGAGATCAACGAAATCGGGGTGGGGCACCGTTGAACGGCCTCCTAAAGGCCGCCGACGGCAGAGAATAGCGACCTCGTTGCCGTTTTGTTCTGGGAGTCTGTTCTCGTGGCCACAGAAGTTCGCATTCAAGGTGAGCAAGAACAGGCCCGCAGACAGCAGCGACGACGACGACATGGTTGTCGTCGACGCGCACAGCTTTGGTAGGTCAGCACGTACAGACGCAGATGCGGTTCGAAGGATACTTAGAGGTAGTCAGAAGAAGTATGCAAACATGTCTGGCTGATATAATGACACGATTTTCAGTAAGGCACAAACAAGTCTACTCTTGTACGATATTGCAACAGACAACAAACCCACATAATTTTTTTCCTGTCACTGCGATTATCTGTTCAATGAATGCATATAAGTAGTCAGAACTTTTCATTCTGTTTATTTAGGCCTACATATCATTACCAGTCATATTTTCAAATAAATTGTAATTATATCAGTTTCCAACAGAGGATAAAATATGCTACTGGTTTAAGAAACTTTTCTACTCAATTTGAGAGATAATTAAATGCCTGCTTTGAGATTCCAGGTGCACTACTCAATCCATTGTCACGTCTCTGAAAGTGTGTATTTGCGTACATTCGTGTATTACAAGGCGGGCTTCAATGGTGAAGATATGAACACGAAATGAGTCTGGCCTACAACTATCTCTCAGGCAAGCATTAGTGTCTGAGGACAGCTTATTGCACCTACAAAGAATGAATTGTAATTGGAGTAGAACCTCACTATTTTACACTCCCAGCTTGTGGGAAAACCGTTCGGTTAGATTGGCGATCACAAAGCCCGCAAACACCTGCAGGAGTGACGACAGCCGTGAAAGGTCAGTTCCTTGGCATGACCTGAATATACACCCCACAAACTAAAGTCTTCTTGTATAGGATACATGAAGAGCAGTGAATGTTAGCTAGAAATTTCACTAATGGAGAAGCCTAGAAGAGAAGTGAGTCGAACCTGAGCAGAACCCAGGATGTAGATGAAAGAATAATGGCGTCCATGCACCACCATGTCGGCCATCATAGCTAGTGGGATAGTCAAGGACATGCCGAGGGTTGCGACAAGAGGGTTCGTCCATACAACAGACATGGCCCTGCACAGTAACCATCGTCTCATGTTATTGTACACAACTTATTCCTCCGCAGCACATGAGGATATATAAGCGTTTGAGTACCCATGTAGCAATAATAAATGATGCGACCAATTCTGAAGGAGAGGAGTAATACCAAAAATAATCTGAAAGAACGCTTCCAACGAAGCCGTTCGCCAAAACAACCTCATCTACTTTCAAGGAGGTTGGGACGCTAAATGCAGGTTCAAGCCCGAATGCGTGTAGAGGGTAAACTACACACCCAACCATCGATCATAGATAAAAACATCAGTACAAATGCACACACCAACATTGTAATGCAGCAAGCTTTTCCAATCCAAAGAAAAGCCAGAAGACATTGAAGACCTGCAACGATGGTTTGAAGTGGAAGTTGGAGAGGATGAAAATCCCCTAAATTTTTTAAGTAACTCGACAGAAAGCATCAAAATCGTAATGTACTTACTGCACCACCAAGCGCCTATGAGAGTGAAGAGCCCAATGAAGCCGAACATTTTTTGCATGTCAACACCATGGCCCTCCTCCCCTCCATACTTCTTTAACATCACTGCAGATGCAAACATAAGATAACGAAAACCTTGGGCTTTAACTTTTTGCTCGATACAGTGTGCAAACAAAGTTTATGTCAAGCTGGACAACGTAGGTTCGACAGAATTTGCAGTTTCTGGACATGTACCTGTAAACAGACCATACATGACAGCTGAGAGAAGACCAAGGAAATCTCCTGCCAAAGAATGTTGATCAAGACTGTCACATACCACTAACATACATTGTTACTCTTTGTGCAAAACCTACACGCTCAAGAAGTTGAGCAATGATTCGTCAGCTCCATGAACATAAAATAAACTGCATGACCCGTCTCATCGTGGGCAACAGAAATATATCTTCACAAACTGTAGGAACGTAATAGTTTCACTCCATCAAACCAACGAAATCGGAAGATTATGCCAGTGTAACGGCCACATGGATCCTGGTGCGAATTAGTATTGAAAGTAATCATCTCTGACAGGATAGAAACTTACTCATTCAAAGACTCGCTGCTGTCGTTCGTCGACCAAGTCTTGCCCAAAGTAGTCATGGCCACTCCAGTAATGCTGACTAGCACTGCAACAACCTTAGCAAGGTTGAGGGATTCCTGGCCAAAAAGCACTCCAAATAGGAGAGTAAAAAGCCCTGCTGTTGATGACAAAATTGTGGTGCTAGCCACACTTGTAAGGGCCAATGCCGCGTTGGACAAGTACTGCAACACAATCACTAGCCGATTCAGACGATGACCAGAAGACGGGCAGTTCATTAACAAGTAAGACGCATTCGGATTCCTTTTGCAATTGCAACATTCAGATCTTCAACCAATCGTACATGCAAGAGTGGTTGGTGGATTTGAGGTTTCGCAAGTTTCATACCTCGGTTATAACCCAAAGAGGGGCCATGATCATGCTGATCTTCGCTATTTCCCAGGTTGTAAAGACAATTTCATCCTTAAATTCGTCTAAACTGCTGCTAGCCTTGGTCAAAAAGGGGTGGATGGACTGGGGATCTTGTTTCTCAGAGTTTATCTCCTTCATGAGGACCATCTTCTCAAGATCGATCTCGGAATTCTTGTGCACGCCATTTGACCGCATAGGCGATCCCGGCAAGGAAGACAGTCTAATCCCATGGGCATTTGAGTTCTTGGGTTTCAATTTGTTTTTTCTTTGGTAGTGGTCACAAATGTAATCCTTCAAGTACGACACAGGTAGGTAGATAACTAATAACGAGGCCCCTAAGTAGGTGAGCACGAAGGGATGCTTGTAGGCTTCAAAAATGCTCTGCGATACATTCCCATCCCTCATTTTAAATCAACAGAAAGTGTTTGATTTGAAGCTACGTTGAAAATACTATGACTGAAGATCCTATTAACAAGTAATACAATTTGCACATGACATAAAGCAGACGTTTCGACAACATTGACGAGCCCACTTCCTACTTGATTCAACGAAACTCTAGTCTACCGCTCAAGTCCTGCTTAAGGTTCCTTTTCACTAATTCTCAATGTACCAAACAATGCAAAGATCCTGCCACCGGCAAACTTGAAAATTACAGGAGCTAGATTACTTGAGCTGAATTCACGAAAATTATTTTCACCAAATATGACCAAGATAGCAGTAGGAGGTTTAAAAATTTGTAAGCATTTGTAAAATCTCAAGAAAAATCTAACGATTAGATCTGGAAGGAAAATAACATTTGAAGTGAAAAGAAATTGAAAATCTCTCTGGATAACTTCATTACAAGGGATAATCGCGTAACGTGAAACTGAAACATTTGCTCGTTTCATGTCTACCCAACGGAAAAAATATCGAATACACACATGCATGAGAGGCATCTGGACCACGAACCTGCGTAACCTCGGCTGAGGTGACCCATATCAAAACAACGGAAGCGATCAGAACTAAGCCGGCCTTATATCGCCACCCCATTGTCGACGTCCTGGCTATCAGCCCTCTCTTGCTTGTGCAAATTCACAACCCGCTGGATCCTCCACCACTACGTCCACAAACGCGCACTCCTCCCCTCAATCTCCCTTCCTGGAACCCAGATCACAACAAAACCTCCGGCTAAACCCCTATAAAATCACAAAAGCCACAAAACCAACCACAAACGCATCGCCACGAACGAACTCCTCGCTCCCAACCCCAGATTCCCTTCCACCACACCCTACCGGAGCAAATCCCACGTACAGATCTGTCAAAAACACCGAATGGCTAGGGTTACACCTCCCGGACCGACCAAACGCCACGGGTGACCTCCCTCAACGCCGCAAAATGCAACGAAACGCGGCAAGAACCAAACTCAAGGTTCACGAGTGGCTCAGAGGCAGCCTAGGAGGCGAACCCGCAGCCAAAACGGAGCAAACCGAGGGAAACGGGGATGCGAGCAATGGGTCTGGTGTGGTAGAGCTCGCGCTGCTACAACCCTTCGGCGAATCCCACCTGACCCCGAATGACGATGGGTCCGAAGGTAGTGACCACCGGTCGCCGACCTGGTCGACAGGGGACCTACCGTTGGTCTTGAGTCCATATCCAGTTCCGAATGGCATGAACTACATATTGCATCTTAGCCGTTGAAATTCGAACTTAACTGAATCTCGGTTACTAACTTCGAAAATAATTCATTATTACTCGAAAGGCTCGGTGTGTTTTTTCTTTTTTCTTTTTTCTTTTTCTTTCCCTCATCGTCAAGCACAAAGATGAGCTCCATTGTTGCCTATTGTAGGGTGCGGGTATGGGATAGGGAAGCGGTGATAGGTGGACGGATGCTCTTTCCCCCGAGGTCTCATCGAACGCCGCCTCCAGGTCTTGATTGGGGTCCTTCGCACTCCGTTCTAGGTCTCAATTCAAGTTGCATCTTCGATTTGAATTGAATGTCTACCTCCAAAAATTCCATAGTCTATGCATATTCCGTATTCATATTCTATAGAATATGCATGATTACTGATATGCTGTTGAGAGACCAGCATTGGATTGCATCATGGAGATTAAGGTTTGAGTTGCCTCTTCATACTCGGTATTGGCATGTCGCAATGCATGATTCATCATTCGAAGGTGATCCGCTGCTTCTTTCGGGACGCCAACATTCATGGAGATCAAGGTTTGAGCTGCCATCTTCATACTTGGTGTCCTTTTCCTGTACATTACAAAACATCAAACTCGAGCTTCATTACCTTCACATTCCTATCCTATCAGCATATGCCTCGACAAAGGCTTGCACATATCCAAGAGCTGAAGAACCTCTACAAGTCGCATATTCATGCGGTTAGCAATTGTTCAATGCTTCACAACACCATGATCTGCTAAACAATCAAATCAAGCCACATTCGGAAACACATCCAAGGCGACACTAGCATATTCTCCAAATTTATCTACTTTGATAAATAAATTATTTTTTAAAGTTATAATGATTTTTTTTTATAATTTTCAAACTTATTTTTATAAAATTAGAAAGTAGCATCTTGATCAATGTCCTAAAGCCATGTAACTTTACAAAAATAAACATGTCAAATCCAAAAAAAATTGTCTTTTCTTCTTTTCTAAGGTCTCCAAAACTTCGCTTTAGCCTTGTCAAAAGGTCTTTATTATCTAAACATATATTAGCTCTTTTTAGTCTTTATAAAGTTTGCTTCTATACATGAAGTCTTGCTTGTCTATTTAAAGAAGAACCTATAATTTTTGAAGTTATAGGATGTCTAGCATAAGCTTTAAATACTTCTTCAGAGAATTCATATAAATGTAGTATATAAAAGGATCCATCTTTAAAAACATGTTTAAAAAATATTTCCATACTTGTATTCTCATCAAATAGAGTAAATTCTATTTTGCTTGATTTACTTATAAAATTTCCAAAATATTCCACTCACAATTAGTGACTATAAATTTGCTCCTTGTGTCACAGACATACGCATGTAAGCCAATAATTACATATATAAATATGTAGAAGTAAGTAAAAGTAGGTAAAAATAAGTTAATTCTATAATATTTGTTATGAAAGCTTCCTAGAAGCTTTATAGATGCTACTTTGACTTTATAGGTATCTTTAATTAACTTTTTGGATTAGAAATGTGGTCAACAAGTTGGCCATGTGCCACACATGTTGTTAGCTTGAAGACCAAAGTAATTATGTAGCCCACATGTAGAAAAACTTGCCTTGTAAGTTAAGGCATGTGTCCTACAAAGTCAACATATATTGCACGTCCTATAGAACATCGCCATGTAGCCCCTAGTTAAATAGTATATATAGAAACAAGAGTGAAGCCCTCTTCACTCTTGTCAACTCTTTTCTTGCTTCTAGTCTAGTTTCAAGGGTCTCTAGTTTTCTTGTCTTTTGGCAATAGCCATTCGAGTTTCTTTTTTAATATACATATTGAGTTATTTCTATTTTGTCATCTTTTTTTGAGAGAAATCTCACTTGTTTATTTGTCTTTATCCAATTCTTGTCTTTGATAGATTGACAAGAGTATACTTACAATATCAAAGCTTTGTTTAATCTTCATTAAGAGTAGATTACCCCTTTCTCTTCATAAGACATAAGCATATTAGAAATTGCGGATTACCTTCTTCTAAACTGATATTGTCCTTAGTATTTTTTTTGTTTTCAAGTCCTTTCATCTATTTGTCTTGAGTGATATTATACATTTTTTTTTTTTTTTTTTTTTTTTTTTCCTAAGTGTTATCATGGTAGAACTTGGTGAAATGAAGAGTGTAATGGCACAAATGTAAGAATAATTGAGAGAGTTAATACTTGTGATGCATCAACTCAATTTACCACCACAAGGAGCAACAAGATTAGCAGGAAGTGAAGATATAGAAATGATTGGAGCTGCTTCAACATCTGCATCAAATCATGTCCCTTCTCCTATAATGGAACATCCTTCTAGTGTTAGAGAACCTAGAATTACCCTACCTAAGAAGTTTGATAGTACCAGATCAAAATTTAGACGATTTATCAATCAAGTATAATTTGTGATTCAACTTCAACTTCAAAGCTATCCAACTCCAGGATTACAAGTTAGATTCATTAGTATGCTTTTTTTAGGTTTAGCACTATCATGGTTTTCATCTTTTCTTGAACGACGAGATCCGATATTGGATAATCTAGAGGCTTCTTTGGCGGAGTTTCGATCCATGTATGGAGAACATGATGCAATTTGTGTTGCAACCAATAAGATTCGTACTTTGCGACAAAGCAATGAATCAGTCAAATTGTATGCTTCACAATTTTGACAACTTGCAACTAATATCATGTAGGATGATGCTGCACTTGTTAGCCAATTTCTCTATGGATTACAATATGAGGTAAAAAAATTAATGGTCAACTTACCTGATCCTCAAACATTGAGTCAAGCAATTGACTTTGCTATGAAGTGCGACAATCGCCTTTTTGAATTTTGATCTGAGAACCGTACAAGTGGACCTCAACATTACTATAATTCAATGGCAATACCAATATCTTATACATACATATATTCAAAAATAGAGGATATGTAAATTGATGCAGTACGTTTCAAACCTCTTATTGAGCAAAAAAAGACTCATCGTTGTCAAGAAGGATTGTGCTTATATTGTCAAAAATCTAAGCACACTACTCAACATTGCCCAAAGAAAAGATGTAACTATAAATGAAGAGTACGGCAATCAAAGAAGATAGCATGTCGGAAAACAAATTTGTCCAGTTATAATAGGGATTGTGCGGCTGGAACCTTGTACAACACGTAGTGAAGGTCCTATTCTCTCCTTAGAATCCTTTCTATATTTTACATTAAATATTATTCTAGGACCTAAACATTACAAAGCCTCTACCTTGTTAGATTCAAGAGCCTCAGCATGTTTTTTAGGTGAAGAATTTACTAAAAGACATAACATACTTTTAGTGAAGAAAACTAAACCTGTTCATGTAGAAGTCATAGATGGTCGTCTATTATCTTCAAGAGATGTTACTCATGAAATCCTTCCTATAGAAGTAGCAACTAATGGTTATAGTAGCTTTATAATATTTAATATTATTAGATCTCCCTCTAATCCAATCATTTTAGGTTTATCATTGCTAGAAAAATATAATCCTAAAATAGATTAGACTTCTTATAGTCTTGACTTTTTTGAAAGTATAACTAAGAGCATAGTTAATCAAATAGAAATTCATAAGTCTAGTACAATTAAATCTATATTTGTAGATACAAGAGCTTTCTTGCATGCTGCAAAAAAATGATCACCTTGTGTCATTTATGCCATACTTGTTTCTACTGATAGAAAGACTTCAAGTGGCATTTCAAGCCAATATTAAGATTTTTAAGATGTATTTGAGAAGAAAAATGGGAATACTCTTTCGAAACATCATTCCTATGACTGGTCAATTGACCTTCAAGAAAGAGCACAACTGCCATTTGGACCAATCTATAATTTATCTTAAAATGAATTGGATGAATTCTAGGAGTATATTGAAGAGAATTTGGCTAAGAATTTCATATGCCATTCCAAATCTCTAGTAGGAGCTCCAATTTTATTTGTGAAGAAAAAGATGGATCATTGTGGATGTATGTTGATTATGAAGGATTCAATAAAATCACCATCAAGATGTCACGAATTTAAAATACTAACTGGAAACAAGAAGCTCAAGAAGAATTGGCAAGAATTAGATTAATCATATGAGTACAAGAATAACACTAAAGAGGTGAGCTAAAGCTCCAAGAGATGTATTGTTGAGACTAAGGATCCCCTCAATCTCAACTCCTACATATACTACCAGCTAGAAAGCTTCTCAAGTACCTTCCACAAACTAGGAAGCTTCTTAAACAGCTTTTATGAGTTAGGAAGCTTCTCAAGTAGCTTCCACAAACTACAAAGCTTCTCTAAAACCTTCTAGAATCTTCTACAACTTCCTAATATATGTTCTTGACATCACCCCCCTCCCTTTAGCTTCAAGGTCTCCGAAAAATACTCCTATTACAAGTTAGTACCATCGTAAGAAGTTAAAAATTTGTCGCATAATATCTGCAATATACTCCCATTGTTGTTCGTGCGACAAGTAGTTCATTGGTCCTTGTAATCAACGATAGTGTCCTACGCCTTCAATTTCCAACCAAGCATGAACTTTTGTATCTTCATTGTGAAAAAAATCTACAAACACTCCTTTGGGAAGATCATCGTAGTCAAGTTCTACCTCAAATACAATCACTAGCGACCTGTTACTAGGTATTCTCCGTCATCTTTGTGGTACAGGCAGTTCTTCATCTCGAAATCATCTTCATGAGATATTCTGTTGAGAAGACATAACTTGTATGGTATCTATCTCCTAGCTATCCATATCACATCAAAAAATACAAGCACTTAACATAGAAGAATGGGCTCAAGTTACAGATTTATAGTCTCTAACTATGTCTTTTAGAGGTTCCTTCTCCCCCTTCTTTGTAAGGTCAA